GCTGGGGGCAGGGGAGCGCGCAAAGTCTCCTCTGCTCACCCCCTCCCCCGCCCTGCGAGCAGCACGCGGCGCTTCAAAGCACCATGTGCTCCTGGCAGGGCGGGTGGAGGCTTCGGGACAGGCCCTAGTTGGCCTGGGGGCGGGGGATCAGCAGGGCCTCTGTGAGCTGGATCAATCCGCTTGGTGGGCTGAAGCCGGCCCACGGAGGCCCTTTTGCCCACTCCTGCCCTAGCGCCCCAGTCTCATTGCTGCCCCAGAGAGACGGGCAAGCCCCCACGAATGGCGGGTCCCACAGCTGTGGGCGTGGGCGCCCCTGTAATGTGTGACCCGCTGGGCGCCCAAGGTCGCAGCACTGCAGCAGCTGAGCCGTTGGGTTTATTACGTGCTGTGGCGCAGCCCAGAACAGGTGCGAGCGCTACCCGAAGCAATAAACTAATCTCAGCATCGATCTGGCATCCCCGGTTTCCAGGCCGGCTGGTTTGAGCAAGCCGAGGTCTGCTAATAGACCTCAACACCTGTTCCCTCCCCGCCCCGGGAGGCTTCCGGAGACCAATCAGCCCTGAGCGGTTTTACTGCTGCTCGGTGCCTTCAGCAGAAGGACAAAGTCCATCCACACAGACATGGGTGTAAGGTGTCTGAGATGGCTGGGTCGGGAGCCACGCCCTCATTCTGTGCCTCAGTTTCCCCACCTGTAAAATGGGGCCTATGATACTGCCTCCTTTGCGATCTGCCAAGGAACGCAGGAGGGATGCTTGGGGGGAAAGGTGCTACCGGCCTGCGGCCTGCCAACCTCATTTCACACTGGGTGGCCAACTATCCGTCCAGAGACACACCCTTCACGTTCCAGTTCCTATTGACCATAGCCCAATGGGAACTAGTGATCCAAACCCGAAAGGGTCCCAGCCCCAGGCCCCAGTCAGGTGTTTTATACAGGCAGCCTGCAGCAATTCATCCTCACGCAGCTCTTTGGCCCAGCTGATAGCAGGAAATATTTTGGTTTCCTCTGTGAAAACCCCCGCACCTTGTCCCTTCAGACTTCTAAAGTTTACTAAACAGGTTAATAACACAGGGGTGGGGCGTCTGCTGCCCCCTGTCCCCAGATGGAGGGGCTGAGCCCTGCTCTGTGTGTGCGAGAGAGCTGAGACTCAAACTAGCACAAGAGAGGAGAGTTAACTTCCTAGGAGATTTGAGACCAACCCAACCCACCCAGATCTGAATGACTCTGAGTACTGGGGAAGACTGAGCTTGTGTTTGAACACCTGGGTTCTCTTCCTCGCCTCCCTGTAAGACTTGGGCAGAGTCACCTCCCTGGTCTGTACCTCAGTTTCCTCGTCTGTAAAACTGAGAGGATACTGACGTGTATCCCTGGGGGACTGAGGTTAGGAAGGTGCTTGGGGACCCTTGGAAGGCAGATGCTAGCGCATCACTGGGCCACATTTTCAGGCTGGAATTACCCCGTTCTGTGTTTTTTAACCCTTTGGTCACCACCGTTTAGCTGAGTGTTTTGGCATCTCAGCACCTGAGCGGTTAAGTGAAACAGGGACCCGAAACCAGTCCGGCTGCACGTCACCATCTAGAAATAAATTCCCCCTTCGGTGAACCAACAACACTGTCTGTGTAAACAGAGGGTCAGGGTGTGTGCGTGTGTCTGCACGTGCGCCTCCCACTCTCACTTTGCTGCCGCTCGCGCTACCAGCCCGCAGAACAACGGGCTGCTTTGGTATTAAAAGCCCTTCTTGTTCAAAGCTCCTCACGGACATTAATTTAAAACTCCTGAACTAGGAGCCCTCCCTGCTGGGGAAAAACAGGCAAGGATCCACTTCGCCCAGCCTGGAAATGCAGCCACCTCTGGGATGGGATGTGGCAGCTGTTTATCCACCGCGGTAGGACACTGGGGTGCGCACTGAGTCAGAGAGGAGAGCACCCCCTGCTGAGTCCTGCGCCTGGTGCCTGCAGTGCAGCGCCCCCTAGAGTCACACTGGGGGCAGGACCAATTCCATGAGAGCACTCTACTCAGCTTTGCCCTGCTCCCTGCAGATCTGCCCCCCAGCATGTTGGACCCATATTATGCCAGATCAGTCTCAGATGTGGCCGCCTGGACATGTGCATTGCACGGCTGCATGGACATGTGCATTGCACGACTGCACATACATGTGCATTGCGCGGTTGAACAAACGTGCAGTGCACGGCTGCACAGATGTGTGCATTGCACAGTTGTACAGACGGGCGTTGCACAGTTACACTGAAGTGTGCATTGCACGGCTGCACGGAAGTGTGCATTCCACCGCTGCATTATTATGCCAGATCAGTCTCAGATGTGGTCGCATTGCACGGCTGCACAGACATGTGCATTGCGCGGTTGAACAAATGTGCATTGCACGGCTGCACGGACGTGTGCATTGCACAGTTGTACAGACGGGCGTTGCACAGTTACACTGAAGTGTGCATTGCATGGCTGCACGGAAGTGTGCATTCCACGGCTGCACGGACGTGTGCATTGCACAGTTGTACAGACGGGCGTTGCACAGTTACACTGAAGTGTGCGTTGCACGGCTGCACGGACGTGTGCATTGCACGGCTGCATCCGGAAGCTGCGAAGGGCCAATGTGATATATACAGCCCCTCCCCCGATCCCTTACCCTTCACGAGAGAACACTCCCATTGTACCTGCAACTGCACAATTTTCTCCAGCGAGCTGCCTCCTGAGAAATGTTCCACATCCGTGAGCCGCAGATCCAGCTCCGTGAGCCTCACCTGCACGGTCTCCCGCTCCCACTCAAACTCCTCCCGCTGGCTGACAACATACTGGTGGGGGGAAGGAAACAAACAAAAATCCAGCCAAGCCCACAGGTCTGGCGGGAAGTCGGACAGCCAAGTGTCTCCATTTGCAAGCCTGTGGCTGGCCTCCCTCTGATGGTGCTGGCGATTACGGATTACGATCAGCCAGGGCCAGGATTGTGAATTCTCAACAGACCCGCTTGCAGAAACAGCGGATAATTTTCAGAAACCCCTCTGTTCTGGCCTGAAGCCGAAGCATCTCTGTGGGGCAGACAGTTGCGGTTGGGTGTCTGTTCGGCACTGGGCACAGCGGGGTACTGGGCCATGGCTGTGGCATCCGGGGGCGCCCGTGTGACAAATGGGGAATCAGTGATAATACTCATCGGTCAGATGCCTGGCCGGGAGCCCCACGTTCCCGACACTTTGCTCAGCTGAGTTCACGAATCTGGCCTGATCAATGTCACGTCCTGGGCCAGATCCCCCTCTGATCAGTGCTGCTCTATTTTACACCAGCCGAGGAGCTGATCTGTTTCCCTGTCCGGGTCTCCCTACTCATCAAGGGACCCCCCAGTATAAACAAATATCACTGGGAGGCAGGAGACACAGGGGCACATTTATCTGCCCATTAATAACCCCAAATTCCTGGACCCGATGGCGCCCGGAGCTCCCTCCCCACCGTGCCAATGCCCCTCCCACCTTGGGACCAGCTGCACGGTACCTTCAGCCTCTTGAGGATGGCAGCAGCTCGCTTCTGCAGGTTGTCCCAGCGTTGGTTGCTGTCCTGGACCACAGCCCGGAGCCGGCCCTGCAAACTGGTGCCACTGGCCTGAACCAGCTGCCGGTACTGCCTGTTTAAGGACTCCAGGTGGTGCAGCTTCTCCTGGATCTGCCTTTGCAGCACCTCGAGGGAGGAAGGGACACCAGTACTACTCCCACCTCCAGCAGGGGAGTAAGGGCTAGTGGTTAGAGCAAGGGGGCAGGGCAGTAGGACCCCTGGGTTCTGTTCCCAGTTCTCTCAGGCTCTGTCTAGACTGCAGGCCTCTTTCAGAAGAAGCTTTTCCAGAAGAGATCGTCCAGAAAAGCGTATTTCGAAAGAGAGCGTCCACATTGATTGGACGCTATCTCGCCTTTAAGTTGTGATTAGTCTGGGCGGCGTGGCCACCAGGGTAGTTGTGTTATTTCCTTGTGTCTTTCGAAAGAACGCCCTCTTCTGTGTCCACACACACGCCTTTTTCTGAAAAAGCTTTTTTGGCAAAAGGTTTCTTCCTCGTAGAATAAGGTTTACTGCCATCAGAAAACCCCCTCCAGTCTTTCAATTTTCCCTTGGAAGAACTCAAGGGCAGTGTGGATGCAAGTATTGTTTTTCCGGAATAACGGGCTGGTTTTTCCCAAAAAAACACTGCAGTGTAGACTGACCCTCACTTTCCTGTCCACACCTAGTTTTCTCCATGGCTCAAAGGAGGGCAATCCCAACATGTTTCAACGATATGTACACTACTGAGTTTTTCCGGGATATCTAGGTATCCCAGAAACCTCTGCCGCATCCAGGCAACATGTCTGCTCGTCCGAAATTTTTTTTTGGAAGAGCAGATGTGGTTTTTCAGCATCCCTCGTCTTACGAGGCAGAAGGGATGTTCCGAAAAAGCTTTTTTCCCGACATTTGGCCCAGTGTAGATGGGACACATGTCGGAAAAGCCTCTTCTGAAAAAAGAAGCGGAAAAAGATACGCAAATTGCGGTTTGCAATTTGTGTATTTTTTTCCAGAAGAACTGTGTAGCCTAGACACAGCCACTGAATCAAAATAACCCAGGCCAGGGAGGGGGGAATGTGAATCTAAATGAAAGGGTCCCAAGGAGCTACTGAGATCCATGAATCACCATGGAAATGGGAGAACTCGTTAGCCTCTTGCCAAGGGGAAGGACTGGGGGGGGGTGTGTGTGTGTAAGTGTTTCCCTTGTTTGAGCTTCTGTGGATTCGCTTTTCCTGGCACCTTTGAAATAAAAGGACTTAAACAAACACAACTCAGGGCCTCCCCCGAGGAGCTTTTCTGCCAGCCCGGCTCTCCTCCCGCTGTGCCAACATCACTGCGCAGAAGAAAGCAGTAATTCCCCCCAGTATTATGTAATGGCTGAGGACTCCACCACCTACTGTCGCCGCACTGAACCCTTTTAGGTTAATGTCGGTAGCAGCTACCGGTCCCCATCCAGCACCTGGATCCCAATGCCTGAGCTTTATTAGGAATATTACGGTAGCATCTACAGTCCCCATCAGGGTTTGAGGCCCCACTGGAGCGAGTCTGATTAGGTATATTTCGGAATTGTCTAAAAGCCCTGTTGGAGTTTGGGGCCTCATCATGCTGCGCACTATTACGTGTATTACGGTAGCACCTACATGCCAATCCACTGTGCTAAGTGTTTAGACAACAGGTAGGAGGGGAAACTGAGGCACGTGGGGGCACAAGGGCTGGCCCACGGTCACTCCACAGGAGGGTGGCAGAGCTAGGAGCAGAACCCAGGTGGCCGCAGTCCCAGCCTATTGCTCCACCCACTGGTCCCCGCTGCCCTTTCTTCCCTGCTGTTTTCTCACCTCAAACTTTTTGAGCTCTTCCTTGGCCACAGGGAAGGGCACCTGGGCAGAGGCAGGGGAGGCAGCCCACCGCTCCGCCGCCTGCAGCCAGTCCTGGAAGCGGGACAGGGAGTCCAGGACCAGCTCGTGCAGCCGGCAGGCCTGCTCAGCCCTGCAGGGAGACCGCAAGGAACCTCACAGCACCCGGCCATCCCAGCTCCTCCAGGCTGCCACGGCCCGGCAGGACGGGGAAGCTTGGTGCAGCGGCCGGGGAGGTCTGGCGTCTCCCGGAGATACAGACTCAGCCCCCCTCCAATACAATCCGGCCCCCTCTCGCCTCCCCCTCCCACACCCGCCTCGCCTCAGCTCTTTTCCCCCTTTTTCCTGCTGCCCACAGTACGACCCCTGGACCAACGCCCCACGGTCCTTTGCCCCCTCAAAGGATGCTGGGAAGAGGTGGGTCATAGCCCCATTGCAGATGGTGGGGCGAAGTGGGTCATAGCCCCATTGCAGGTGGTGGGACGAGGTGGGTCATAGCCCCATTGCAGGTGGTGGGACTCAGAAAGGCCGACACCCCTCCCCACACGCCCGGATGCTGGGTGTCGCCTTCTCCCCCCACCCCGGATACTGGATCCTGGCCTCACCTGATCCGTTTCTCCACGGAGGCTGCGCAGACGCCGCAGCCGGGCACCGGCTCCCCGCAGTGTGCAGGGGACATCCCAGGCTTCAGACGAGCAGGCCCAGAGCTCCAAGCCCGGCTGCTCCTTTGCATCTCCGGCTCCCCACACGTCACAATCCCCGCGGGGGCAGCAGGCAGCTCGGGGGGGACTAGGAGTCTGAATGAGCCCGGAGCGTCGGCCGAGGGCCCATGACGGCACTTCCCTCCTGCCAGGCCTGTCTGGGCACAAAGGGATCTCGTCTGACGCTGACGGCACTGGGAGAGTCGCCCGGCCAGAGTGCAAGGCCCCGGTGGGGCGACAGGAAGTCCTACGGGCAACAGGTGCAGAGAGAATCCTGCCTCTGCAGGGGGGTGGGAGCAGGTCTGCTCTCGTAAAGTACAGCCAGGCTGGGGAGGCCCCTGGACTCCCCAAGCGGGGGGAGAAGGGTGTCACCACACAGGGGAGCCTGGAAATGGGTGGAACCAGCCTCCGAGAACCCGCCCCGCCACCTCCCGCAGCCTGCCCAGTCCCCCCTGCCAGGGTGCAGGTGGCATACGGAGCAGGTGAGGGGTGTGGCTGGGACTCGGGCTCGTCTCTGCCCCCCCAGTCCCATGGGGGGTAGGTAGGTCAGGGAGGGGAAGCCAGAGCGCTCCGCAGTGTGACGGGTCTCGGCCCTGCTCCGCGGCGGCTCTAAGTGACACAGCAGGGTGCAGGCTGGGCCAAGAACACAGAGAGCAAAGGAGGCTTAAATCTGCCACCCCCAGGTGGAGAGCAGGCGTAGGTGGCAACCAGGGCTTGTGCCGGCTGCGGGACACGACTGGGCTAATGGCAGGGAGCCAGGGAGCCATTTGCTGACAGATGGCACATCCCAGCAGCAGCCTGCCTTGGCGGAGGACCTGGGAATCTAAGGGTACGTCTACACTAGCCCTCTAGTTCCAAGTAGGGAGGCTAATGCAGGCATTCGAATTTGCAAACGAAGCCTGGGATTTAAATATCCTGGGCTTTATTTGCATGTTCCCGGGCGCTGCCATTTTTAAATGCCTCGTAGTTTAAACTCCCTACCCGCAGCCACACGCGGCACAGGCTAGGTAGTTCGAATTAAAGCTCCTAATTCAAACTACCGTTAAACCTCCTTGCGCCTGGGAACATGCAAATAAAGTCGGGGATATTTAAATCCCAGGCTTCGTTTGCAAGTTCGAATGCCTACATTAGCCAGCCTAGTTCAAACTAGGGTGGCAGTGGCAGTGTAGACATATGACTGGGGCCTGAGGCAGAGACAGGGACGTGGAACAGGGGAGAGAGAAGAGAAGTTGGGAGCAGATGGATCCCTTAAAATTGCCTTGTTCTGTCCACAGGCACCTGGCATTGGCCCCCTTTATCCTTCCTATGTCCCAAGGGTGCCAGGTCTGTCCATTGCAAGGCTGGTGTTGGGTGGCCAGCTGCTCCTGGGAGTGGGTAGCAAACCCACCTCCCTGGTCCCCCAGGAGGCTGCCCTAGCTCCTAGGCCACTCCAGACCCCACCTAAGCTCCCTTCCAGGTGTCCCTTATCCTGCCTTCCGAGTGCAAGAGCCGGGTCCTGCTCCAGGGCAACCTGCGTTTGATATCCGGGAAGCCAGGGGGGACTGGAAACCCTGGCCAGCTGCTCCTGGGAGTGGGTAGCAAACCCACCTCCCTGGTCCCCCAGGAGGCTGCCCTAGCTCCTAGGCCACTCCAGACCCCACCTAAGCTCCCTTCCAGGTGTCCCTTATCCTGCCTTCCGAGTGCAAGAGCCGGGTCCTGCTCCAGGGCAACCTGCGTTTGATATCCGGGAAGCCAGGGGGGACTGGAAACCCTTCGTCTGACCCAGCCTGCCCCTTCCTGCGTCCAGCGCTGGAGAAGCCGGCCTGCCCCTTGCGGGGGGCAC